GTAAATTAATATCGCTAGAAGAAAACAAAGAAATCGAAAGTGACGTTAATTTCCGGGAATTTTCCCTTATTGAATAATCTGAACTGATGCGTGTCTAGTTGCAATCCTACGCCGTAAATATCATTCTTTTACTCGCACAGCAAATTCATCATGTTGTCAGTCAATGAACACGGCCCACCAGAGCTCAGTATTACTATTCCAGAAAAAAGAAATCTTTCACCAGCTTTCAAGCAATGGGGAGATTTCGAGCTTCCAATAGATATCCTACTATTGACTGTGAAAGACTGCGAATTTCTGGCCTGTTACTACTTTTTGAGGAAACCCTTTCGAAGCTATCTGAAAGAGCTTGGCCTTCTCTATTTCGGTGAGATGGGCGAAATAGACGGCATGACACCGCTAAGAATCGCGTTAGTTACCTGTTCTGAAGGCGCTATACAGCCGGGAGGTGCACTGATTAAGGTGAAAAATACTGTGGAAACATTGCAGCCGAAAGCCGTGTTTTGTGTTGGCTGTTGCGGGGCTTTGAATCGCGAGAGAACCAACCCTCAGCTGAAGCTAGGAGACGTAGTCGTTTCCTCTAAGTTGACTACGTATGCCGACAAAACTGTCACAGATACTGGTGACCAGCCTTTTGGTTTATCTGCGCCGGTAGGCAGAGATATTGGTGGTTTAGTCAGACATGCCGCCGACGGTTGGGAAGCCCCTTTAAAAGACACGGAAGCCAGAAAAGTCAATGTCCATTGCAGTGGTGAATTTTTGAGCGGACCAGAGGAAATTGACTCAAACAGGCGACGAGAAGAACTCGTCCGATTTTATCCCCACGCGATAGCAGTTGAAATGGATGGGCAAGGTAAGAAACCCGTAGCGGAATTTTTGATAGTTTTGAGTGGATTGTTTACTGTTATCGCTGCTCGAGGTCATTCGATCAGCGCAATGACTAGTCNGTCTATGTCAGATAGTAAAACAAACTCGTTTGCAGTAGTCCAAAAGCATGCCAACCAGATAAACTTTCCACAAACTGCTGATGAATGTAATGAAAATCTTCTTGTTTTTTTCTTATTTAGAGCACCTGACAGCTGGAACTCGCCCTACCACCACTGTCACAACTGTCACTCCACCCGCGAATGTGGATAATTTATTTGGATCTTTCTTGCGGTCGGTCACTGGTGACTCTCCATCCAGCCAGGTAATTTAGTGAATCGTTGCCGGTATTTAAATCTTCACTTAGGGTGTGTAAATTACAGATATTAATTAGGGTGTTTAGGCTGGAAAGCCAATATTTTTAGCCGTCAAGGCATCTTTCAGGGCTGCATTCGGAGGAACTGGAAAACGCGGTCATCTTGTGTTGGTGTTTAACACCGATTAGGGACCAAATAAAGCTTGACCACGCCTAGCTTGGTCTCTTTTAGGCCTTATTCATCCCTGACTCTTTCACACGGACCTCCCCATCTCTCTCCCATCTCCCCCTTCCGAGTAACCCTCCAATATTTTGCCTCTCTGACGTGACTTAGTTATTTTGTAACTGCGGTAAACACAACTCAAGTTCGTGTTCCTTTGATTTGCAGCTCAGGTACAAAGGACGAGTCTTTCACTTCAGCTCTCGTGGACGGATTCACTCGTTGCAAGAACCCTGGGTATTTGATGGTAGAGCCTGGGACCTAGAGAGTGGAATCAGCGTTGAAGCACGCCACTACCGCACCAGTGACGAGGCTAACCAGCGTGCTGTGCAAAAACTCAAGGACAGACTCAAGAGCGAAGGGTTAATTACGGAGTAGTGCGGGACTTTTTAAAGAGTTAATAATCAAGGGCCCCAAGAGCTGATTTAAACTGCTTCTAATTAATTAGAATAAATGTATTGCCTCGTTTTTACTATCGGTTTTAGTGGGAGTTGCGGTGGCCTCATGGTTAGCGCGCTCGTCTCTAGATCGAGCTGTCCAAGTTCGAGTCCTGACCGGGGACATTGTGTTGTGTTCTTGGGCAAGACACTTTACTCTCACAGTGCCTCTCTCCACCCAGGTGTATAAATGGGTACCGGCGAACTTAATGCTGGGGGTAACCCTGCGATGGACTAGCATCTCATCCAGGGGGGAGTAGAAATACTCCTAGTCGCTTCATGCTACAGAAACCGAAGATAAGCGCCGGCCAGTTAGGCCACTTGGCTCGCAAGCAGACTTTACCTAAATCAGTTTCAAAACGAGCCCTCAAAATCTTTCAATAGCTCTGGGCTTCTGTTGCAGTCAGTAGGAGCAGCTAGAAACGGCCGATCTGAAATTTGGAGTAAGATTACCCTCTCAATTATGCAAAACCAGTCACTAATGACTGAGATTAGGAAGTCTTCGAGGACTTCCTTTGTCGAGAAACGTTAACTGAGGAGAAAGCCATCAAAGCGTATGTCACAGTTGACACGCGAATGGCTTACTTGTGCAAATAAGGTACCCAGTTGCAAAAAGTTATCATTGGACAGCTGTAATAGACCGTTTTCGATATATTAAAATTCAACTTGGCAGCGAGGCTTAGAGGACACAAACAAAGGAAATTGAATGAACATGTTTATTCATTTCTTTTGTTTTTGTCTTCTAGGCCTCTCTATCAAGCTGAATTTTAATATATCGAACGTGGCCTATTGGACATTACGTTATCGCGCACCAACTACTTGACAGAGAAGCTGAGAGAGAACCAATCACAATCGTCAATTTTGGTATAGGTACGATTAAAGATAATATAAACAAGCTTCTTTTAAGCGCTTGATGACGGCAACGCCAAAGAGAACAGCCACCAAAAATATCAACTCCAAATAGAAGTAATAAAATAAACCGTCATGGTTCACGTTCTACAATGTCAGGTGTTTTTATGATCTTGTTTTGCAGAGGAGCTATTGTTCTGCTCGTTTGTTTAGCGTCGTTCCGATTGGCGTTGTCGTTACGGTTTGTCAATCAGAGAACTCATTTTTTCTGAGAAATCACTTTGTACGTAACAGATTACGTTCTTTTACGACTGAATTCTTTGGTACTCAATTTAACGGACGACTGTAAAATGGTCATCTTGTAAAAGCGTCTGAATGATTGTTACCTGCATGTGATTATAATTATATTATGAGTTAAATTGCGAATAATTGTTGTTGTTTGTGTTGTTTTTGTTGTTGAGTGGCAATCAAATGCGCGACCGATTTGGACTGTTAATTCTGATACGCGAATTGTGTCAGGTCAACCGGCTTGTTTGCTGGACATGATGCGGCATTCACCGCCGCTACCTTCGATTCCCATTCGATAAAAAGAAAGTTGAGTTTGGTTAAGTTTGTCAGCAGGCTGTAAGAGGCCTGGGTCCACATGGGGTTAACTGCTGACAAATGGGAACACTATTAACTAACTAAGTAAGTAAGATGGTTTATTTAAACATGCACGATGGGATTAAAAGCATTACATGCTTGAGGGGTGGTGCGTAACTGCCTAATACCCAGTTAACCTACAAAATGGATAAAATATGCATAATCAGACTTGAAAGTAAAACCAATACAATACATAATATACTTATAATTTAAAATAATTCAAACTGACATAATTTATGAAAGAATGAAAGATGCGAATGCAACGATAATACTACTAGAAAAATGACATGAAAAAATTTCAGGCTCTTTCATTATTTAATTGCTACTGTTGGACATTTAATACCATGGAATTCATATACTTGAGCCGAGTATTACGTCCACTGAACATATAGGGCCGAACCCACACACCACCGCTCTCATGTGGCTTTGATAGT